AGTCTGGCGTAGCCCCCGGCCCTGAACCCACAGTGGGCAGCCTGTCCAACCCCATTACAGATCATGGTGGGGGATGTGCCCTCCATGCCTCTCCCAGGGGTGTGCACAGTGACGGGAGCCGCCCCCTTCCATGCCCCTCCATGCTCCCCAGATGAACTGCCCGTGGTTCCACTCTGCCCCGGCTGGGCAGCGCTTGCCCCTGCCCTAGCCCCAGCCCCAGCCCTATTCCCTCCCTCACCATGGGGGCCCCAATCTGCCTCTCCCCTCATGCCTCTTCCACCCTACAGACCTACCGGCTGGATGCTGCTCTCCATGCTGCTGGACTGCATTCCTGGTCATGTGCATGCTGCAGCTGCGCACATGCATGCAGCATTTATGTCTGACATTATCAGTCACATTGGCCAAAAAAGACGACTGGTAATAATGTCAATTTTTCTTTTATCGGTGCCAATACAGTATGGACAGACGTATCTGTGCACCTCTGTAAAATGTTTCCCACCTGTCCTTTGGGCCTGTTGCCAATGACGGAACAAATTATAATGACTCTGACAAGGTGACACATCATAATACCATACTCAAAACTGGTGCAAAGGACTCAGCATATCCATCTTTCTTTATGCCAAAACCCTTGTTAATGCTGGTTGTTCAAAACTCATTCTTAGCAGTGCAGAGGCATTGCATTTATGGAAAATCAGTGGGCAATGGGTTGAGCTTTCATTTAGAATTTTCTCCCACACTGATTAATAGAATTACCCTTTTTAACACAACTTTGTTATTAGTCTGGCAGCTGTATAATCAACTGACCTCCCCCTACCCCCAGCACATGCAGTAGATGTGCACCACAGATATGCAGCTCCCAAAGGTGATAGTTTATGGGTTTAAAAACATGGTTTAGAGTACAGATGTACTTATTTTTGTTAGGATACTAAACTTGTTGATGAATTCTTATGATATTAATAATCAGTGAGATGTAATAAGAAGTATAACCTTGGATCTGCCTTCTTTGTTCATCACCTTATACTTTAGTATATACTATAGTTTGATTATATACAGTTATTGAATTGACAAATAAGACGACAGGGCTGGCATTGTTACTAGAGTGTCTGATTTTTGTGTGTGTGTAAAATGCCCCGAAATATTTTTATATAAAACATTAAAAAAAAAAAAGGCCGTGTTACTGATCTCCTTACTTGTGGATGTAACTGCAGGAACATTCACGCCTAATTTACAAGTAATCCAAAGCAGGATATGGCTCTTTATTTGACATTCATATATTCAAGTTTTGTGTTAAACAGGGCATTTCCCTGTGTTCTCAGCTTTATAAACATGATCTTTCAAATCTGGTTACTAATGATTTTAAATTGGGGAAGAGGGGAGTAGATTCACGACCTCCCATCTCAGTATTTGATCTTATACCGTCAACTCTATAGCACCTATATACCTATAATATACTACCTAGTATAAACTGTACTTTGTCAAGTATCTTGTAAAGACCGGTTGAGTGTCTTTTTTATGTCATTCTTGATTTTCTTTCATAACATCCATTTTCTAAATCACTAACTCATGTTTCAAATTCATTTATTGCAATGTTTCCTCCCTCTAATTTAAATTGTACAGGAATCTCTTGGTGCTCAGCATTGAATAAAATGCTGAATTGTATCCAAGGGCAAAAAGTCTTTTGGACCTTGCTGCTGTGCTAATGCTTTTGTGGCTTTCCATGCACTGTTTCAACCTGAGTCATGGCAGCTGTGCCATTAGCACTTTGGAGATCCCATCCTTCAAAGAGAACATAAGAAGTGCCATACTGAATCCATCTAGCTCAGTATCCTGTCTATGACAATGACAAGAGTAGATGCTTTAGAGGGAAGGCACTGAACTGGATATATGTAGAGCAATCTGCCCCTGTTCATTACCTTCCCTGGCATCCACTATTATTGGTTTAGAGATGCCAGAGGAAACACCTCTATTCAACAACTATGTATAAATCTATCATCCACGAATGTCTCTAGGTCCTTTTTGAACCTGGCTGTGTTATCCTGTGGCAAAGACTTCTACAAGTTAACTACTCATTGCAGAAAAAGTACTTTTCCTTGTTAATTTTAAACCTGTCTTCTACTAATTTCAGTGGGTGCCTCCAAGTTTTAGTATTCTGGGACTTGGTGAATAACAATTCCCTGTTCACTTTGTCTACACCATTCATGATGACCTCTCTCATCTTCATGCTCTGCCTTTTTCCTTTCCAAACTGAAGAGTTCTAACCTTTTTAGTCTCTCCTGGTATGGCAATTGCTCCATACCCCTGATCATTTTGTTGCCCTTCTCTATACCATTTCTAATTCTACTACATCCTTTTGTAGATGTGGAGACCAGAACTGCATGCAGCTTTTAAGATACAGGCACACTGTGGATTTGTATAATGGCATGATGATGTTCCCTGTTTTGTTTTCAGTTCCCTTCTTAATGATTGCCATCTATTTATTGACTGTTTTGGTCACCACTGCACATTGAGCTGATGTTTTTAGAGAACTGTCTACAATGACTCCAAGGACTCTTTCCTGAGTTGTAACAGCTAATTCAGAAACCAACATTGTGTACATAAAACAGGTTATTTTTTCCCCACGTGCATGATCTTGCACTTGTTGACATTAAAGTTCATTTGCCATTTTTTGCCTTAGCTTGGTGAAATCTTTCTTCATCTTAAGTTTTGACTAGCTGGAATAATTTGGTATCATCTGCAAACTTGGAGATTTCACTGTGTACCCTTGTTAGCATAGGGAATCATTCTGCAGAGGTAGGAACATTGCCTAATGAATCTTTCCCTCTCTCTGATTTTGATTAAAGACAAGGTAAGTCTGCATCAAGTCTTCCATCGTATTAACTTACCTTAGTCTATATTGGATCTGAGATCAGCATGTGTGGAGTGTATGCACATTTCCTTTTCCATACTGGCTGAGAGAAAGGAATGGAGTTAAAACTGAACTGAATTGACTTTCCCTTTTGTGATTTTTCACAATAAAAAAAGAAAAGAAAAAGATGTGGAGCCCTTGAGGGGGAGAAATATGATGAAGGTCTGTAAAATTATGAATGGCTTGGAAAAATGGAAATGGTATGAAAAAATGGTGTCTTTTGATCTAGGACAGGAGCTGGCACTTTTACCAAAGGCAGGGCTGGGTGATTCATTCCCCCTCCCCGCGACTTGACTCCTGCTGCCCAGTGTGCTGCCAACAGGTGTAACTGGTAAGTTTTGCATCCTGGGCAGCATGGAGGCTGGCAACCCAGTGGTCCCTATACCCTTTTTGATCTCATGTGCCACCCTACCCCTTTGGGAGATGCACTTGCTGCAGGGGTAGATGTTGGCACACCCAGCAGCCAGGGGGTTAACGCAGAATCTGTTGC